ATGTGGCCGTCGGTCTTGCAGCGGCGAGGTTTCGTGGGGCGGGCCAGCGGGCGCGCGCTGCAGTGCAGTGCGACCTTCGCCTGTGCTGCTGGCGCCGCGGGTTCGCGCTCGACTGCCGCCTGTGCTCGACGTCCTGCGCGCCGTGCATCGCGGGCTTCCGCGACGCGCGGGCCGTCCCCTGGAAGACCCGCTGCGGCCTCGCGGTGGAGCTCTTCGGCGGCGGCGGGCAGTTGATGACGCGGCGCCTGGTGGCGCCGAGGCCACTGCCCGCGGGCGCCCGCCCCCGCCCGCGACGGCCTCGGCCAAGCGGCGTGGGGCGCGTGCCCGCAGAGACGCCACTCGTCTCAAGCGGGGTTATTTCTCGAAGGAGGCCTTCGGCAACCAGTCGGAGGCACTCAGGGCTGATGCTTCCGCCGATGGCGCGGGCGGCGAAGGGTTCTCCTCCAGCGACGGCGACGACTCGTGGGCCGACGAAGTTGAGAGCTCGCCGCTGCCGCCGCCGCAGGATGACGCGCCCCCCGCGAGGGGGGGGTGTGCGCCATCTGGCAGGCCGCCCCGGCCCAGCACACGCAGCCTCAGTGCCTTCGCCGAGTCGCCGCTGCTGGCCGCCGCCCATGACGCCGCCCTCGCTGCTGGCGAAGGCGAGAGTGGCTGGCCCCAGGCCCGAGCAGCCCCCAGGCGTCACACCGTGGATGGGGATGGTGCTGACCCGTCGACTGCTTGGACGGGGGCGAGGGCCAGGGCTTCCCACCGTTCGAGGAGATCGAGGGCCCCCCCGAGGCCGAGTCGTGCCGGGCGGGTGTGTCCGACCGTGGGCCAGGCGATGTCGGCCGAGTGGTGGTTGAGGAGGTTGGCGGAAATCAGTCTCGGGGGCGCCCTGGCTCTGGGGCGAGGCAATCGCGGCCGCTGGCGCCCCGCCCTGTCACATCTCGCTTGCCCGTTCGCGACGATCGCCCAGATGATGATGGAATCGTTACTTATTTGATCTCGGATCATGCGTGGGAGCGGGCGGCCGACGCCAGAAATCCAGCTTCTACGCCGTGGGCAGCGATCGGTGAGTCGGCCGCGTGCTGCGTCGGTGCCGAGGTCATCGGGCCCTTCAGCGACGCCTTCGCCAGATGGGTTCGCAAGGTCGAGGCGGCTGCGCGTCGTCGCGCACGGGGGCCCACGCAAGACCGAGGCCTCTCTCGAGGAGATGGTGTTCACCGAGTCGAGTGTCAGGTGTCAGCGGCCCAGCGCGCCATCCATGCGGAGGTCACCGACGCCGACTGCGCAGTGGATTGATGGGCGGCGCTGCTTGCAGTCCTCGGGAAGTTCGCGCGCTACTCGAAGTGGATCGTCGGCGACGCCCCCGCTGCTCGCGCAGCGGCCGCTGGGCGCCGCCGCGCCGCCGCTGAGTGTCGCCGTCTGGTACGGGGCGCCCCTGCTCATGCCCGTCGCGCCTCGCCGCAGCCCGAGGCGCGGGTCGACGTGCTCGTGTGGCAGCTGCAGAGGGGCAGCCCATCACTTGGGCCAGTCTCCGTCGGGGCATTCGCGCTCTGCCACGCTTGCCCATCCAAGCCGTCGAGCATGTGCTGGTGTTTGTGCAGAGCAGCCTACGCCGTGGGCGAGGTCGTGCTGTGGGCGCCTCCCCGCGCAGCTTCGAGGATTGGATCGTCGCGCCGCAGGGCTCGTCGGTGCTGTTCAAGTCCTTCAGGTAACCCGACCTGGCCGACGGGGTGATTGACCCGCGAGGGTTTCAGTCCCTCGTCCACCCCCGTGACCTGGTGGACCACGAGGCCGGAGTCTGGCATGGGCTGTGGGCGCCCCACCAGGAGGACACGCACGCGGTTGGCACCTTCTGGAGCGAGCTGCGCGAGCTGCTTGGCTTGGAGGACCTCCCAGCGCTGGGCCTTCCTCAGCTGAGAGCCGCCTAGAAGCGCATGCGCCCTCGCGCAGGCAGAGGCGTCGACCAGCTACGCCCTGCCGATGTCGAGCGGCTGCCCGACTGCGCTCTCATCGAGCTCCTCGGCGTGTGCTCGGAGCGCGAGCAGGCGGGATGCTGGCCATGGCAGCTGCTTTTGGTCACGGGTCAGCTCTTGGCCAAGCAGGCGGGCGGTGAGCGCGTGATCGGCCTCCTTTGCGTGATCGCGCGCATCTGGAGCCAGGCCCGCGAGCCCATCATCCAGGAATGGAGCCGCGACGCGGCTCCGCCCTGGGGCGCCGCGGTCCGCGGGAACGCCGCCGTCTTCGAGGCCTTCGCGCGCGCCGCGGACGAGGGGGCCCACGGCGCGAGAGGCCTGGCGCGCGCGCGCACCATGCTCGACATCGAGGCTTTCTACGGCTCCGTGGACTGGGTTAAGCTTCGACGTGCCGCCCTACGGCTGGGCACCCCTCCTGCCGTGCTTGCCCTTGAGCTCCAGTTGTGCCTCGTCCCGCGGGTCTTGATCCGCGACGGACCTGCGTCGCCGGCCTTCCAACCCGCCAGGTCCATCGTGCAGGGGCTGCGGTCGGGGCAGCGGTTTACGCGGTGTCTCGCCTAGTTCATCTTGGATAGGATCGCGCAGTCCAAGCCGACAGGTTTCCTGGCCCCTCGCATCTGGATCGACGACCTGCCCGAGGCGGCGGTCATGGAGAGCGCCTTGACCGCTACTCTCGCCGAGACCTGCGACATGTTCGTCACCGACGGCCTCCGCATCTCGCCAAGGAGTGTGGTCATTGCCGTCCGACGCGGGCTGGCCAGGCGCACCATGGGCGCTCTCCGCGTCAAGGGCCGCGTCGTCTCGGCCGCCAAGCGTTCGCCGCGCGTCGGCGTCGACTTCGCTGCGGGCAGAGTCACGCGGCGACCCGCTTGGACCGGCATAGCGAAGAAGGCTGTCAAGTCGCATCTTTGAGTTCGAGGTTTCGTTCGGGCCAGTAAGCAGCATGGCGCCTGCTCGCGGGTCGAGATGGTGCCCCCTCAAGTTGCAGGAAGCTACGGGCGCCAGATCCTTGGGGCCCTGGCATCCTGGCGACGTAAGGCCCGCCAGTGCCTCGGCGCCGTCAGCGCAGCAGCTGGCGTGGGGAAGTGCCTCGCCACCGTCCTGCAGTTTCATCGCGGCACGCGGGATCCTGCGCGCCGCCCGCCTCGCACGACAGCAGCTCGAGCTCTGTTTCCAAGCGTGGCGTTGTGATGCTGATCTCAGGCGGCGTGTCCAGCAACCGTGGTTTCCGATGCACTGTCGGCTGCGGGGCGCTCCCTGCCCAGTGCCACCGCCGCGTTCGGGGCTCGATCTCAGCGCCGTCAGCCTTGCTGATGGAGTGCGACTGGGGTCCCGTGGGCCCGCGCGAGTGGGTTTGTCATCTTCCTGGGGGCGGATGGGGGCGCCGGACATTCCCCGGCGTGGAGGCGCTCGTCGACGGCCCCATTCAGCAGTTGCTCGTCGCGTTCGACGCTTCGATCCTGGAGCAGCTCTGGAGCGACGCCTCCCTCCACTGGTGCGGGGGGGGGGCCGCAGCACGGGGCCGGCCTGACCTACTATCGTGCCGTGGTGAAGATGCTCGAGGGATCCCAGCGGCACCGGCGCCTCGCGCCGCTCCTGCTCTCCATCGCAGCTGGCGGCTCATGGCTTGGCGAGCGGTTTGCCGAGACCTCCGGCACGCTGGACTCCGTCGACTGCATCTGCCCCAGGTGCGGGCGCGAGGTGGAGACGCCGCTGCGCAGGATGTGGACGTGAGAGGCCAATCAGGGGTCCAAGGCCTACGACCTCAGCGACCACCCCATTGCGAGGGCACATGCCGAAGCTGAGGCCTACCCTTGCTTCTGGCTTCGTGGCGTCCTGCCCGCGGGCTGGACCCGAATGCCTGCTCCTCCTGAGGGGCCTAGCTGAACCCGCATCGGCGACGCGCTAGGCCAGAGGGCTTCGGCATCGGCCCCACGCGCGAGCCCCATCGCGCTCTCTAGTAGGCCTTCTGATCGCCTGCTCGCCTTGGGGAGCTTCGAGGCGCGGTTCGATGCTCACCTCTAGCGCAACAGTTCTAGCCTTTCATGATCCTGAGTGCGCTGCGCGAGCTGCTGGCAACTGTTCCGTAGCCCTAGCAGTTGGCCGCTGAGGGGGATGCCCCAAGGCGGTGCGATGGTTCACTGGGGTACCGAAGCGCGGATACCAACGCGCGCTTGTCGCTGGCGCCTCCTGCTTCGGTGTGCAGACGGGGTGTGCCGCTCCATGATCGCGGCAGAGCCGTTCTGTTTCCCAGAAGCAGACCACGATCGCAATGGACTCCCTGGACGCGCCAGGGGTGGGCTCCTTCCACCCCTGTACATCGCGCGGCGCCTCCCGCCCATGCGAAGGAAATCTGGGAGGCAGTAGAGCCCCGCTAGGCTTGGACGAACTGCCGTCCGAACTGTTGTGCTCTCTTTCGCTCTCTCCTTCTATATTTCGGCTTCTGTTGCTGCTACTCGTCCTCTCCCTTTACGTCCTGCTCCTCCTGCTGTTTCTCCTAATTACCTTCCTTTTCCCTTCATGTCCTCTCCTCCTCTCCTTCTTCCTCCTCCTCTTCGTCGTCGTCGTTGTTGCGTGGCGGGTGCTGCGGAAACGTATTCTCATTATCGGTTGGGCCCCAGTCCGTCAATGAGGACGTCGAAAAGATAACTCGTTTCCCCTTCATGGGGGGGGTCTCTAAATGCCTCTCTTGGTTAACGTGCTGCGTACTTGGAGAACGTGCTCTGTCACCCGCGCAGACGCGCAAACGTGCCACTCGAGAGCTCGCCTGCCATAGCTCGCTCGCTTTCGTGTGGCACTGTTGTTCGCGCGGTAGAGGCGCGGCCACCCTTGTGCGGACGGCGGTTCGTACCAATGCATACTGACAGCCTAGTCTTCTGTAACAAGTACTACCGACACGAGCAGGTTTGGTCTATTCTAGCCCTCCCGCCTCCTCCCCCTTCCGTCCTTGCCCCCTCCTTCCTTCCATCTTGCACTTTCCCTCCCCCCCTCCGCCCCGTCAGCCGCGATTGCCTTGGCGCCCCTGCCTCCGACGCGCAGGCGCTGGTCTGCGCGCTCGCCTGCGCGGGCGCCTGCCTGCTGCTCCGCCAGGCCGCCTTCGCGGCCCCTGGCGGCGCGGCCGCCGCCACCTCCGCCCCGCGGGCGCTGCGCGGCGCAGGGGCGGCGGCGCCGCCCGAGGCAACGGGCCCCCCCATTGCGAGGATCGGGGAAGGAGGCGGTGTTGATGCGGATGCGGATGCTGATGCTGGCCCTGATGGTGATGATGCTGATGCCGACGAGGAGGATGGCGAGGGGGAGGAGGAGGCGGAGGAGGAGGAGGAGGGGG